AACGAGATACTATCACGTTAAAACGTGATACGTATCACGTTTTAACAAGATACTATCACGTTTTAACAAGATAACTATCACGTTTTAACAAGATACTATCACGTTTTAACAAGATACGTATCACGTTATAACGTGATAGCGCTCGGATTTTTTTTTTCCCTGCGTGATAGCAATACGCTTCCGTAGAAATGCCTCCTGTGCCATCAGGAAGATTTACATGCAAGACGTAACATGGTAACCTCTCATTTTAATCTGTATAATAACTTTTATTGTAGGTTTCTTATGTAGTTTTAGCATGTTTATCATTTAAAACTTACAGTTCCTACCAGGTGTTTTATTATCTGGTGTAATGTAATGTTAGCGTGTTTCAGTTTATTTAATTATTACTACTGATTGGTTTGTTCATGTAAAAACCTAATAAGTTAAACTTGTTAGAATAAAATTCTAATTAAAAAGAAACAGAGTCAGGACACACTGACTTTCCTCTATAAACACACATCCAAAGTAAATAAAATATACAGTATTGCTACTGAATGATGTTATTGTATTTAATTATAAACTTACTCACAGAAAATAAGGTTATTTGTGTTCAGTAGATTATTATTTTTTGTTGTAACAATGCTTCTCAGCAATAAATCTTATACTTTTGGAAAGCCTGTCTTTTAAACTGAACCACATTTGTAAGKATCATGCATTTGMGGGATGAGCAGTAGAGYTGCACACATGTGGATTGCAYATGTGAAAAAATTGCCAAATCTCGGCAAAACAGCTGATTTTGCTGTTATTGACTTGTTTTGAGCTTCTGGTCTCCCCAGGTGCTGCTATAAGATTTATTACCAAGAAGTGTTGCAACAAAATAACCTACCAAACRTTAAATTTCCTTACTTTTTGTGTAAATTATATATATTTGCCAAAATTAGATTTTCATTAAAAATGTCCAAAACTCAGTCATTCTCCTTTTGAGAAATTTGATCACTTCATTGATGTTGTGCAGTTTTAGGGTTCAGAGTAAAGCAAAAGGTGAAAATTTGTATGTAAAATTGGAGAATTCTTTTTTTTTCATAAAATTGGAGAATTGATATAATCATAATCATATCTAATGTTGAAAAATGACTTTATATGAAAGTGTTAATGTCAGATGTAAATAATGAGCAGCAGATTTAAAGGCAGGATGTGTTTTTGCAACACAAACCTTCAGTATTGCCGTGTTCTCCCTGCAGAACGTGGCTGAACTCCTCCAGAACTCTATGTGATGCTACAGGCTGTGAGTGGTCGCCTCACGGTGAAATYGCAGGCGATTAAAAGACAGAAGCTGCTGACTTTACTCGGGAAATTAATTCAGTTAATGCCATGGACTAAATGTGTGAGAAGCCCCGAGGTGATCTCACCTTTCCTAACCCCACCAGTCCTTCACGCTGCTCCCCGGGACCAGCAGCCAGAGTGAGCCGGTGCCAGTTCTGATGATGCGTCTCCACCCAGACAATCTGCTGGCACCGCGGAGGATGCCACAGAGCATTAGCAGCAACGCGGCGGCGGCATGTGGTGGCTCAGTGTGTCAAAGCCCTGCTCAGCAGGCCCCCGCAGGACCACTGATACCCGGAGTTGCTAACAGCTTTTGACTTGCAATTAGCCAGCCAAGTTCATCAGCAGCTCGAGCTGCAGGGACTGAAGTGGTTCTGCAGCCGGAGCAGCACGTTTCCATGAGTGTGTTTGTGCAGCGTCCAGCAAACTCTGCTGGGATTAACCCGAGCTGGCTGAGGTCTACTGTTCACTTTACATCCTGTTCTGTATCACCAGCTGGAGGAGAACGAGAGAATATGATTTTACTTTACTTTCTTTGCATCTGTCATATATATATATAT